ATCTGCAATGTCTAAGAATAATAAGGGGATTACAAAGAATTTCTATAAATCAAGTTTTAAAATACAGAACTTCTCTGGGGAAATATGGAAGAGACAAAGGTTATTGTTACTGGAAAAAAATGTTCAAACTCATTACTAAACATAGATGAATGTATAAATTAAAAAGTATATTATGCCTTTCAGTTCTCAAAGAAACAATAACAGAAGTTTAGGTAAAGTCATGTTTCTGTACATATATGTAGAAGGAACAATATGCTGTATCAGAACATGGAATTTACAGTCAGTGGAATAATCACATTCTGCCTCAAGTCATATGTTGGGTTGAGTATCACAGACACCCCCAAGGAACATATGTTCACTGCCGTAATGCTGTGATGTAGAGAAGCCCATGTCAGGGGTGACCATATCTGTAGTTAAGAAAGAACAAACTCATAGTTAAAGGACACATGCACCAGTCTGTGCAGCTTCAGTATAGAACCTACCAATAGAAATGGCCAAGGTGGAACGTTCAACACAAGTACTACTGAGTGATAGGGGGCTTGAACAATACATAAAATCATATCATTTACTTGAAATAGAGTGACTAACTCTGCTAAAGTTTGGGCTTCCTGAAACAGGTGCGCCCATACAAGTTACAGCATAGCTATAAGGAAGACGTGGGAAAAGACTGGGAAACAAGAGAATAAATTAGAGAACCACTTGAGAACATGCCAGCGTGTAACAACGTTTGTCCTCTGAATGCATGTGTGTTAATTATTTGCCTCTCTCAGGGTCATAGAAATTCTCTATTGACTTTCTTACTACTATTATTAATATTTTCCCTTCTTCTTAGATTTATTCTTCCTGGTTATTGTCCCCTTTAGTAAAAACATCTATCATAATTATTGTAAACACTGTTTATGTCTTACTGACCAAGAATTCAAGAGTTTGGAATATTGCCTCCACCCCCTAAAATCTCACCATTCTCCATAAAGGAAAGATTTCCAGTGAGGATATATAAGCATCTCTTTCTTATTAGGTTAAAAGGAAAAAAGAAAGAAAAAGAGAAACGTTAAACTACTGTGTGTGTGTATTTTTTTCTGTACAGAGATTCAATATTTAAACACACCAAAAAATTCTTGTAAATTTTAATTTGGAGTATTGTAGATGCCTTTGGTCAACAACTTTGGGGTTTACTGTTAGTTTTGATTTAAGGGCTCATTACTGAGCCCAAGGTTGGCATCTACCTCATTTTATAGCCCAGACCTGAAACTCATGAAGATCTCATGTTTGATTTCATTGTGTGTATATTTAGAGTTCAATTCTTTTTTTTAATAAATCCAGATTTAATAAACAGTGGAAGCAATGCAATGAGAGCCTCCTGGGTGACTCTCTTGGAGATAGAGACAGAGACCCACACTGGAGCACTGGACTGAGTCCCAAGGTCCCAATGAGGAGCGGATGGAGGGAGAACACGAGCAAGGATGTCAGGACCACGAGGGGTGCATCCACCCACTGAGACAGTGGGGCTGATCTATTGGGAGCTCACCAAGTCCAGCTGGACTGTGACTGAAAAAGCATGGGATAAAACCGGACTGTCTGATCATGGTGAGCAATGAGGGCTGATGAGAAGTCAAGGACAATGGCATGGGGTTTTGATCCTACTTCATGTTCCGGCTTGGTGGGAGCCTAGCCAATTTGGACGTTCACCTTCCTAGACATGGACGGAGGGGGGAGGACCTTGGACTTTCCACAGGGCAGGGAACGCTGATTGCTCTTTGGACTGGAGAGGGAGGGGGAAAGGAGTGGGGGGAGGAAGAGAGGAGAGGGGGGAGGGGGAGAAGGGTGAGAGGAGGGGGAGGGAAATGGGAGGCTGGGAGGAGGCGGAAACTTTTTTTTTCCTTTTCTCAATAAAAAATAAATAAAAAAAAAGATCAGCACAGAGATCTGCTATGTGCTCTTGTATAGAGTTCAATTCTTAAACATGTGTTTTCTAGATATGTACGTTGTATGTCCAAACTTCTCATCAAAATGTCATAAACAATGAAAACCCCCATACTCAATAACTCTCATAAAATAAATCTCGTAAAATAAATCAATCAAGTATTCAACCCCATTGTGATAATATTTACTTGCCCAGCTTTGCATTGTATACTTTACAATCACAACATTAATGACAGCCAACCTTTCTGTGTCCCTTACAAATGGCCAAATCTTCTTTGTAGGTACAAACTCACAGGAGTTTTTACATATCGACAGGTCTAACCATGATCTGTCATTTATTGACAGGTGCTTGGAGCTTCATGTAGATGTATTGCCCTCCATTTACATATTTCAATTTACACAAAAGTAAATCTGGCATGTTATCTTGGACTTAGCCATGATATAAACACTATTGTCTCTGTCTCCTCAGTCTGAAAATATCCCACCGATTCTGGGTCCAATCTAGAGACACAAACATCACAGTAGTTTAATCAGACAAACTCAATATGAAATTACCCATCTGTAACAAATAAAACTATAATTTATCAGAATCTGTAGGTCTCTGGAGACTTTGGAAGACTCCTCAAAGAAGCAAAAGCAGATGAGAATAATACTAACATGACGAATTGAGAAGTTGCTGTACTGTACCAAACAGTAGGGCATGTGCATTGTGCCTTTAACTTAATGAAAAATGCAGTTGCCATCTTCAATACTTCTTCACCTAGGGGGAAAATGCAAAATAAGACATGAAAAAGCCTTGTAGGGTGATGGACGTGTTTATGACTGTCTTTATAAGCGTGATTTCAGAGGTACAAGGTTGTATTCAAATTGACAAATTATATACATTAAATACAGGCAGCTTTCGTACATTAATTATACCTCTTAGAAACCACAAAATACCCTGTTCTTCAGTCAAGGGAAAGCAAGTTTATTACTGTAACCAAGGGTGTTATAAAGTAAGAATGAAAATAAAAGAAGGTGAGGAGCCTAGACCCACAGGCGAACCACTGAAGTAGAGACTGAGCAGGATATAGAAGGTAACTGGCATTCAAAGGGTCAGCATGGTCATTTGTTGTCCTTAATTTCTCAGTAACCAGAGTCCTGTCTACAACGTTGTTTCTGGTGCCTTTGCATTGCAGTACACCCCTTACCTTCGCTTCTCAGTTTTGGACTTTTATGCTATGCATTGATGCTTTTGATCCAGTAGGAGCTGGTTTTTGTGCAGGGTGAGAGCTATGGCTCTAGTTTCATTCTCCTTTAAGCAACTGTCTAGCTTTCCTCAGACTGTTTGTTAAAGATACTGTCTCTCCTCCAGTGTATAATGTTGAAGTCTTTGCCAAAATTCAAGTGGCTGTAAAGCACATGCTAGGATGTGGGCCTTTGGTTGCATCTCATTGATCTCCACGTCTTCTTTTGTACCAGTGCCATGCTTATGTTTCTTTTATTTTTTGTTGGGACCAATTGGAGTCCTGGCCTTCAGCTGCTCTTCCCTGGTAGAGCCTTCTGATGGGAGTTACTAAAAAGCTGTTCCTTGCCTAGAGGATCAGCGGATAAGATTTTCACCAGTTTGCCATTGACTGCTGGGTATTTAAGCCTCCATGGTCCTATTAAAGAGAGGGCTTTGTATCAGTGATTAGACGTCCATGTGTCTGTCTGTCTCTGTGTGTGTTTTTTCAACCTCCAGCCCCTTGCCCGAAGCTGGCGGCGTGGTGCGCGGCAATTTTTAGTTTTTTTGTTTAAGCATAACTTGAAATCAGATATGGCAATACCTTATTTTTTTGATCCAGACAATTTTGGCTGTCTGAAGTCTTTATGATCTCATAAGACATTTTCAGATAATTTCTATTTTTATGGAAATCCAAGATACATTTATAAAAGTAAATACAAAAAATATACATTTATATTATAAAGAATACAGCCAATAGAATGAAAAGGCAGCCTATAGAATGGGAGAAAAAATTCTGGCAAACTATAGATCCAACAGAGGATCAATATCCAGAATGTGCAAAGAAGTCAAAAACCAACATATCAAAAAAATAAATAAATAAATAAAAACATTCAATCTAAAAGAACAGGCTTTTGATCTGAATATAAAAGTTGATAAAAAGAAAGGCAAGTGCCAAATAAACATTTTAAAGCATAAAAACTATTGGTCACCAGGGAAAAATCAGACTAAAATTACTTTCAGATTCATCTCACCTTAGTCTGAATGATTGACCATAATAAAAAAAAAAAACTGACAACAATAGCTGGAGTGGATGTGGGGAAAGAGGTACCTTGCTCACTGTTGGCTGGAGTTTAAGATGGTAAAGTCTCCAGAGAGATTATTGTGGGTGTGGAGGTTCCTCAGACGTAAATTACAATATGACACAGCTGTACCATTCCTGGGCGTGTATCCAAAGGACTCTACATCTTACTCACAGACACTTATTCAACTCTTTAGAATTGTGTGTTTAACTTAGGGCACCTAGAACAGTCTCGAAATTAGAAAATTATCATCAGTTCAATCAATGCCCAAAGGGAAGAAAAGCTGGGGTGGGGAACTATTGAGGTATTTATGTAAGGATCGTATGGATGGTTTGGGATCATGTGTGGACACTTTATCCACAAAATCACCTGCCAGTCCTCCAAGATTTACCCCGCATAAAACTCAAAGCACATTATATTTCAATTATCTAATCTCAAAACTCTATTAATCAATGATCACAATTACACAAAGGAGTCTATATTTCTTAATGAGCAAATAGTTTTATTCTTTCACATTCGTGTATTCCAACCAGACATTTCTTCTGTGCCTCTGAAGACAGTTGCAGCCACAGGCTCAAAGAGACAGTTGTAAAGGTTTACACTTCAGAACCCAGTAAAATAAAATCCATCTTCCATGATGTGCAGAAAATATTCAATCTGTAGCAGGAGTAAACATATATTGTGACATGTTTACAGCTGTCCGTCAATCCTTGGGCTCGCAATAAATAGTTCCAGTTGGACTTGCTCTTGTAGTACTTGTTCCCAGGGTGATGGAGGAATTTCGGTGGAGACTAGCAGCAAGAAGAGCGGCATTTTCTGTAGCTACAGCAGCCAGAGCTGTATCCACAGCCATACCTGGAACCATATCCACATCCATAGCCAGAGCCGTATCCACAGCCGTACCTGGAACCGTATCTACAGCCATAGCCTAAGCCGTATCCACATCCATAGCCAGAGCCGTATCCACAGCCGTAGCCTGAGCCGTAGCCTGAGCCATAGCCACAGCCATACCTGGATCTGTATCCACAGCCATACCTGGAGCCATAGCCACAGCCAGAGCCTGAGCCATAGCCACAGCCAGAGCTGTAGCCACAGCCTCCACAGGAGTTTCTGTAATAGTTGCAACACATGGTGATGAGAGGTGAGGTTTTAACTAAGAAGCAGAAGGATGTTTCTGAACTGAAGCTGCCATCCAGTCTCCTCGGACCTTTATATACTTACAGGACTGGATGGCTCATGCCTCACATGGGCTCTCTTTTTTACAGCCATGTTCCTACAGTGAACTCATCCCCTGAACAGTCATGTTAGGAATTCACAATTTACTTCCCAGGAACTCCCACAAACATTCAAGGAAATAGGTATGTTTTCTGAACACTCAAACTTATGCATCCTAATTTCTTCTCCATAAAGTCATTTTATGACCATGACCTAACAGAAAGCATCACCTACATCTGTGGGACCTGTAAAATGTGTTTTTCACCGTGTAATTGAAGCCCTTGTTCTCACAAGCCATATACATAAGTTCAGAGTATCACCAGCAACAACAACCCAAGCTTCGCTGTGGCTCTTGCTCTCCTCTCCCAACTCATCCCTCCTATCAACAAACCTCTAAATCACCTCTCATGGATTCTGGACAACGAAGCTTACTTTAACTCACTACAACCAGTTCTCAAATTTCCTCCTTCCCTCTTAGGGAAGACTCATCTGTCTGTCCTTCTGTAGGTGGGTTGTGTGCTTCTTTCTTTCTCTTTCGAAACATTTTACTAAATTCCTATGTAACAGTTTTTGAGTATATTTATTTCATACAGTTTAAAGGTGAATGGATCCAAATGTTTCAATGTGGAGAGCTGAAAATGTTTTGGCGCATTCATTTTTTTAAGACAAATTGAATGGAAAAAATTTAAGCAGGTTAATTTTTATGAGATTAATCAGCCTATACTTAGATTTGGTCAGTGTTTCCATACTTCCTTATCCATTGTGGTTAATAAATAAGAATTACACTGGACGAGTGGAGTGCATATCTATGTGACAATTCAACCAAATGGCACAGAAATATAACCAGAAGCACAATGACTTAGAGTCTTGTTGACTGGAGTGGTGATTATGGCAAATAACCATGCCATGCGTTTCTAGACGTCTATAAAAGATGACTTTGGCCAAGGGGCAGAAGCATATTTTTGAAGTATGCATATGATCTAGTCTCCATAAATGGCCATAATTTAAAGGAGATCTCTACTCTTAAAATATTCTTAAGATTATCCTTTTCTGTCGTCATTCCTATGGTGATATGTTTCTGTCAAATTAGTTTCCCTTCATTCTTAGCTGTCTTGAATATTCCTACATTGGTCATCAGTGAAGGATCTTTACCTTGTACATCTTTCACTTCTTTGCACATGGTAAGTGTGCACTGCCCCCAGTTCAACTGTCATATGCACACACCACACCTCAGCATAAAAATCTCTGAATAATTCTAGCTTTAGTCAGTAGTCATAACCCATATATCAGACAGTCACAGACAATTCAACACAAAATGATTATTCCATGAAAGATGAGAATTTAAATGTCCTATGAATGCGGTAGTCTAAGAAGTCTAACAAGCACTTACGGGATGGAACTTTATGAGGCATCTTTCCCATTTAGCAAATGGACTGAAATCTGCGCTACATTCACAATGGTGTACTTGGCACTTCGGAATCTGCAAAGAGCACCTATCCTGTTAAATATTCCTGTCATGATTTTTTAAAAAAAGGGAGAACAAGGAAATTTGACAAGGATTAATGTGTTTGATGATGGTGACAGATTTGCGTGTGGAAGCATGGTTCTAATGTCAGAAGTTTATATGCATTACATTCACATGTTTTGTATGAGTGATGTCTCAACAAGGCTCATGAGCAAATACGTACACAAACACACCTTGCTGTACAATCATTTGTACAAACCAGCAGTGGGTTTGGGAAACAGGCATGGGATCTTTAAAGGCTTCATAAGTGACAGCCTCTGGTGAAGGAGGAGAGGACAGACAATATTGTCATCTGGTTGCATGTGTGTAGCTAGGAGGCTACCTACGTAACCAAAGGAAAAACAAAAGACATGGTGGTATAAACTCATAACCAGTGCTGGGGAACTGGAGAGAAGAGGATCCCTGAGGCTCAGAAGCTTAACCCTGGGGCACATGAAATGACCCCCACCGCCAGAAAGTGAATGGAATGTCACTAAAGGTTGTCTTCTCCTCTCTACATGTAGCAAACATACGTATACATTTTATACACACAGAGAGAGAAGGGGGAATAAAGACTAATACGGCCCCTTTCCTCCTGTTTTGTTGTCTTACGTTTCTTTTCTCAGGTCATACGATGTGGTCACCTGTTACAGTACTATCGTGAACAGACATGGCCAGAGTAGGCATCCTTTAGGAAAGGCTGTAGCTTTTCCCTGTTGAATATAATGTTAGCATCAGACATTTGTCTATGCTTTAATGTGTTCAGGTTAACTGCTCACAAATCAAAATATTTGAAGGTTTTTACTGTAGGCTGTGATAAATGTTTCCACATGTCTTTTCTGCATCCGGTACTGTTGTTTGCTATGTGAGTTTTGCCTTTCCTTGTGTCAATATGGTGCTTTTTTTTTTCAAGTGTAGCAAACCAGCCTTCCATTACAGGACAAATTCCACTGGTTATGGGGAATGAGTCTCATAATGCGTTATGGATTTCAGTTTGCTAACTGTAGAAGACATCCACATCTATGTGCATCAGAAATGCTAAGCTTTTGTTTTGTTTACTTACCATCCCCTGTCTTGCTTTGTTTATCAAAGAAATACTAGACTCACTAAACAAATACGGGAGTGCTCCCTATTCCTCAGTTTTCTGAAAATATTTTAAATGGTTTAAATTTAGACCTTTAAATATTTGATAAGTAAAAGTGATGGTTGAATGATCAGCCCTAAATAAGACAACTATCACACACACACACACACACACACACACACACACACACACACACACATACTGCTTAAATGTCCAGGGAGCATCATCACAAAAGAGGACTGGATCCAGAGGATGGACAGGGTCACTACAAATGGTGTCTTCTGGATTTATCATATTGTGCTTGGTTAATATATCTTATCTGATTTTGGAATATATTATTGATAATTATTACATACTTTTATTAAGGAATTACCATATTATAGTATGCAACATACTTCATTCTTTTTTATATTTCTGCCTATTTCACATGATAATCTTTTCTAACTTGCTATTGTTTGCAACATACATATTCACTTTTAATGGATTATGTTGTTAATTGTAAATGTTGCGCAGCAAAGAGGTGAGTGCTGTCTTAATACTAACTTAAGCATTGAGTGTTTGTGATTAGATAATTCTAACCATTTAGATTAAAACTATAGCTATGGACATACCATTGCAATTGCCTAAATTCTTTCTAATTATTCATGGAAAGCTATAAATGACAGAGAAATGTTGTTTCAAAGTTCATCACAAACGTAATAATATTCTTCATAAATTTCACAAAAAAAAAAATAGGCAACATTTTTCCTGGATTTTCAGACCACAGAGTCCTTACTCCATTCTCTAGAATACATTTTTCATTTATTCCGTCTTTACAGAATAGCTAAATCCCTAAGTAGAAGTAACTGGGAAGGATTAATTAACTAGGCATGCATTCCGACTATGAAAACCTATTCAGAGTTAACCTCAACCGGAGACCCCAGACGAGAATCACTTCCCGACAACAAAACAGGCAAGACAGGTTCTGCTGTTTGTTCCTCCACTTTGGACATTTCAAAGCAACTTCTCATGTTGTGAAAGAGATTTGGCAACAATTCTAACACTGATAGGATTCTTTCCACTGGTACCTAAATTCCATGCAATACACAAAAAGGAAGATTTTAAACGATGCATGAAAATGAAGAGAGATTAGTGTATGGTTAGAGACGACTGTGAGGACACACTAACATCACAGAATCATCACATAGAAGAGGAATGGCCAGTCAGTTGAAATGACAGGCTGCCTAGTAGATCTTTCCGAGAAAACTTTCTCAGACAGACAGATAAGAAACTGAAATTAAACATAAAAAGGAAGCTTCTAAGAGGTTAGTGATCCAAATGTAAAACATAAATATTTTAAGTCATGAACAAATTGTAGAATTTTTCAGATCTTTTATTGAAAAACTACATTTTCATAAAGTATTTTTATTTTTCTCATCCTCTAACTCCCCCAAAATCATTTCTACCTTTCTACATACACAAGATTTTATCTTTTTTTCTTCACAAAAAAACCCACAAAAACATCCAGCAAAAAAAAAAAAAAAACTAAAATATACAAGCAAACCATCAATCCCCCCAAAAAAAAAGAAACAAAAAATATTCACAAAAATAAAATGAGTTCATTTTGTATTGGCCAACTCCCCGTGCATAGACCTATTTTGAAGTGTAGATAATATGTACAGTGAGACTCTGTTTGAGAATTTTTCCTTTGCTAGCAGGTATCAATTTCAGATAGCTTCTAGGTCAAAGAGGGAACTTGTGCCCCTGTCCGTCTCTCAGTACTGAAATCCCACCTGGTTGGAACCAGTGCAGGCCACATGTGTGCTGCCACAGTCTCTGTACGTTAGTATTCCAACAGTCCTACAGCGTCTGGAAGACATGGTTTCCTCAGAGTCTTCCACCACCTCTGGGGCTCATGATCTCTTTGCTTTTTTTTCCACACAGATCCATTAGCCTTGAGGAGAAAGAAACATCCTATTTAGGGTTGAGTGTTTCAAAGTCTTTTACTTTCTGATCATTTCTACCGCTTCCATGGTGAAGAGCAAAAGGAGGCATATTATGATTTTATGATTATGGAGCTCAAATGTCTGCTGCTGTCACACATGGAGAGTCATAAAGCAAATAGAAATAACAAATGTAGATAAATACAAGACTTATTGGTCTTTACCATAAACCCCACAATTTATAAATGTCTATATCCAAATGGGCTCAAGGTAGCAAGGATGGACTATACAGAAAAATTATGCTTAATAATAAAACAAATTTCCTAAAGATAACCAAAATAATTTCACCACCTGAACTGCACAGCGGGGATAAAATGATATTTATCCTCAATGTCCACACACAATTAATCTGTTTTGCATTTTCAATGTCTATATACACAAACTAAGATATTATATCAGTTGAATTCATATTGAGATATGGTACTCTTTGCATTTCAAATACTCCTAATGAGCATAGGGTGAAGTTACAATTTTAATTTGTTCCTAGTATTCCTTGGCTTGACATAAATTTTTGTAGTGTAGAATTTTCCAGTGGCCAACAAATTAACCCTTTTACATGTGGAAGCTTCCCGTTTTCACACTTGTATAGTCCGTATATTCAACTTATAGAATGATCATTTCTCTAGGGACTTTTGGGGTTTTGAGATGCAGTAGAACAAAGTGAAAGACAGGGGAGAATGACTGATGGGAAAAATAATAGAAATAAAAAATTGCAAGGAAAATAATAATATTTTAAAAATCGAAAAAAGCCTATGAGAACAATAATCTAATGGGAAAAGGATGGTTTGTCAGTTTACTCTTCTACCCTGAATGTGACAGGCACAAGTGGATGACTGCACAGCAGAAAACCCATAAGCCACCTGTCCACTACTTAAGCTTTTGTTCACTTAGATTTTTGTTCTTCGACCCAGGACCCCAAATCCATTGGATTTCAGAACATGCCTGGTTGACTGACACTACAGCTGCTCACAAACCTCCTCTCTTCACCTATCTTTAATCCTGAGAGGCCACATGAGAACACAAAAGGAAACAGAGATAGCGGGAAAGGAGGAAGTTCCTTTAATAAAAATGTAAAGAAGGTTTCAGCAAGCTTGGATTGCCCTCATTATCTACCATCCTGGTTTTCATGACTAGAACATAAGCAGAATAGTTGTCCCAATCATCACCCTCTAGGAAATATGGACATAAAAGTAATATAGTAACAGTGAGAAAGAAGATCCTATGTTCTTTCCAAGGATTTGGGTTCTAGCAGAGTTTATGCCCTCTAAGAATTTTTATTTTACATATTTCAAAAATGTTATTTTTCAAGTGAAATATTTCAATTATAAAATAATTAAAGATAATGATGACAGAAGAGTCCAGACTTCAGAGCAAATAAATTAATTTATTTAGAAACTGACATTTTCGCCTCATTTGCATATTACAAATGCACTTTTCTTCTGTGCCTGTGAAGAGGGCTGCATCACAGGTTACAAAGAGAGTTAGAGTCCAAATCGCAGGAAAATAAAATTCATCTTCATGATAATCCAAACTCTTCAGTTTATATCAGGAACAACTGCATAGTGTGAGATGATTTCATCTGATCAGCACACAGTTGTCAGTCACTCCTTGGGCTTAAAAAGAATGGATAGGCGTTCCAGTTCAGCTTGCTCTTCCCTTGTTCAATTGCCAGGGTGAAGGAGGAATTGTGGTCAGGACTAGCAGCAAGAAGAGTAGCATTTTCTGTAGCTACAGCAGCCAGAACCATAGCCACAGCCATAGCCAGAGCCATACCTGGAACCATATCCACAGCCATAGCCAGAGCCGTATCCACAGCCATAGCCAGAGCCGTACCTGGAACCATAGCCACAGCTAGAGCCAGAGCTGTATCCACAGCCATAGCCTGAACCATAGCCACAGCCATAGCCATATCTTGAGCCATAGCCACAGCCGGAGCCATAGCCGCAGCCAGAGCCATAGCCGCAGCCAGAGCTGTAGCCACAGCCTCCACAGGAGTTTCCGTAGTAGTTGCTGCACATGGTGATGAGAGGTGAGGTTTCAGCTGAGAAGCAGAAGGATGTGTCTGAAGTGAGTGCCATCCAGTCTGCCCAGACTTTTATACCCTACGGATTGATGGCTCATGCCTCACATGGGCTCTGCCCTCTCAATTGACAACACTTCTAGAGTGAACTCATTCTCTGAACGTTTGTTAGGAATTCACAATTTACTTACTACTACCCTAGGAACTCAAGCATTCAAAAGTAATAATCTATTTTCTAAACAGTGAAGCTTAGGAAATTATAGCTTATCCTCTATAAAGTCATTTTATGACCATGACAGAACATTACATACCACTAAATATTCATGACCAATAAGAATGTGTTTGTACGATGTTTCTCAATGTCTTTCGAATTATCAGCTGTACAGTCCCATGGTGAGGAGTGTTATTACCTTCTCCATTAGCAGCTGTCAGAGAAGAACCATTGCACCAACTCTGTTTTTGCTATTAAAATCAGTCAAAACTACTTTTCAGATATTTTTGACAGACTTGAGTTTTGAACCTTTAACTTACAGCTAGAACTCAGTTCTTTCTGAAGGAAGAATTGTTATTGCTATCATTTCCTGCAATGAAAACTTTATATTAAATTGTTCATGCACAAGTTATAAAATGAGACATAGTCTTATCACTCATAGACATTTATTTCAAAGGGTTACTACCTAACTGGTTGAACATGTCTTGGCTCAAGTTTTTATTGTTGTGTTTTACTTAATTTAAATTCTGACATATGAGTTAATCTTAGCAATTTCTCAATATACATTCATGCTAATGAAAGTATATAAATAAATATAATTGTTTTTTTCTATAACACAATTAACCAACAGTGAGTACTTCCATATGGGTGGAGTAGATGCATAAGTGAAAGATTTTGGTGAAAGAATGTGTTCTAAGAGATTAAGTGTATAAGGGACATAGCTCAACATAATAAAACCAATTACAAACATCCCCCAACCACCATCATTCTAAACAGAGGGAAACTCAAAACATTCCACAAACATCAGGACCAAGACAACAGTGAGCAAACCTATTCAATGTAATACTTGAAATCTAAGCTACATCTAAGAGACAACTGACAAAGACCAAATAGAGACAAAAGAAGAAGGAAGCACTCAAACTATTTTATTAGGTAGAGCTATGTCCCTTATACATACTTAAGCCCTTAGAACATATACTTTCATCAAAATCTTTCATTTACCCATCTACTCCACACATATGGAGGTACTCACTGTTAATTAATTGTGTTGTAAAGAAAAGCAATTATATTTATTCATATACTTGCAATAGTATGAGTGTATATTGTGTAATTGGCAAGATTGACTCATATTTAAGAATTTAACTTAACTAAAACAGAACAATAAAAACTTGAGCCAAGAGATTTTCAGCCTTTGTGGTGGTAACCCTTTGAAATAAATATTAATGAATGATAAAACTATGTCTCATTTTATAACTTAATAGAAATTATGCAGGAAATTATGGAGATAGAAATTCTTCCTTCAGAAAGAACTGAGTTCTAGCTGTAAGTTAAAGGTTCAAAACTCAAGTCTGTCAAAATCTATGAAAAGTAATTTTGACTGATTTTAATAGCAAAAACAGAATTGGTACAAAGATTATCTTTCAACAGCTGCTAATGGAAAAGATAATGACACTCGTCACAATGAAAGGAATTGAATAGTTGATAATTCAAAAGACACAAAAATATAATCCAAACACGTACAATTTGATCACACATATTTGATGGTGTGTTATGTTATGTCACAGTCATGTAATAACTTTATAGAGGATAAGCTATAATTTCCTAAGCTTCACTGTTTAGAAAACAGATTATTATTTTTGAATGCTTCTTTGAGTTCCTAGGGTAGTAGTAAGTAAATTGTGAATTCCTAACAAACGTTCCAAGAATGAGTTCACTCTAGAAGTGCTGTCAATTGAGAGGGCAGAGCCCATGTGAGGCATGAGCCATCAATCCGTAGGGTATAAAAGTCTGGGCAGACTGGATGGCACTCACTTCAGACACATCCTTCTGCTTCTCAGCTGAAACCTCACCTCTCATCACCATGTGCAGCAACTACTACGGAAACTCCTGTGGAGGCTGTGGCTACAGCTCTGGCTGTGGATACGGCTCTAGTTGTGGCTATGGCTCTGGCTGCGGCTATGGCTCTGGTTGTGGCTATGGCTCTGGTTGTGGCTATGGCTCAAGATATGGCTATGGCTGTGGCTATGGTTCAGGCTATGGCTGTGGATACAGCTCTGGCTCTAGCTGTGGATATGGTTCCAGGTACGGCTCTGGCTATGGCTGTGGATATGGCTCTGGCTGTGGCTATGGGTATGGTTCCAGGTATGGCTCTGGCTATGGCTGTGGATATGGTTCCAGGTATGGCTCTGGCTATGGCTGTGGCTATGGTTCTGGCTGCTGTAGCTACAGAAAATGCTACTCTTCTTGCTGCTAGTCCTGACANGGCTCTGGCTATGGCTGTGGATATGGTTCCAGGTATGGCTCTGGCTATGGCTGTGGCTATGGTTCTGGCTGCTGTAGCTACAGAAAATGCTACTCTTCTTGCTGCTAGTCCTGACCACAATTCCTCCTTCACCCTGGCAATTGAACAAGGGAAGAGCAAGCTGAACTGGAACGCCAATCCATTCTTTTTAAGCCCAAGGAGTGACTGACAACTGTGTGCTGATCAGATGAAATCATCTCACACTATGCAGTTGTTCCTGATATAAACAGAAGAGTTTGGATTATCATGAAGATGAATTTTATTTTCCTGCAATTTGGACTCTAACTCTCCTTGTAACCTGTGATGCAGCCCTCTTCACAGGCACAGAAGAAAAGTGCATTTGTAATATGCAAATGAGGCGAAAATGTCAGTTTCTAAATAAATTAATTTATTTGCTCTGAAGTCTGGACTCTTCTGTCAACATTATCATTAATAATATAATAATTGAAATATATCACTTGAAAAATAACATTTATGAAATATGTAAAATAAAAATTCTTAGAGGGCATAAACTCTGCTAGAACCCAAATCCTTGGAAAGGACATAGGATCTTCCTTCTCACTGTTGCTATTTTACTTTTATGTCCATATTTCCTAGAGGGTGATGATTGGGACAACTATTCTGCTTATGTTCTAGTCATGAAAACCAGGATGGTAGATAATGAGGGCAATCCAAGCTTGCTGAAACCTACTTTACATGTTGAGAAAAGGAACCTCCTCCTTTCCCGCTATCTCTGTTTCCTTATGTGTTCTCATGTGGCCTCTCAGGATTAAAGATAGGTGAAGAGAGGAGGTTTGTGAGCAGCTGTAGTGTCAGTCAACCAGGCATGTTCTGAAATCCAACAGATTTGGGATCCTGGGTAGAAGAACAAAAGCTTAAGTAGTGGACAGGTGGCTTATGGGAGTTTCCTCTGTACAGTCATCCACTTCTGCCAGTTACATCCAGGCTAGTAGAGTACGCTAAATAAACCATCCCATTCCCATTAGATTATTGTTCCTATAGGCTCTGGTACTTTTTAAAATATTGTTATCCTTCTTGAAGTTTTTTCTTTATTTCAATTTTTCCCATTAGCCATTAACACCCACCTTTCAATTTGTTCTATCACATCTCCACCCACCAGAAGTCTCAAGAGAAATGATCATTCCATATTTTGAATATACCTTCTATGCAAGTGTGAAAACTGGGTGCCTCCACATGAGAAAGTTAGTTTGTTGGCCACTGGAAAAATCTACCCTACAACATTTTTTTGTCAAGCAGAAAACTATTAGCAACACAGAAAAACAGTAGCTTCATTCTATGTGTACTAGGAGTATTTGAAGTGCAAAGAGTTCTGTGTCTCGATACGAATCCAATTGATATGACATCTTAGTTTGTATCTATAAATATTGAAAAATGCAAAATGGATTAGTATGGATGGACATGGAGGATAAAGGTCATATTATCCACTCTGTGCATTTCAGGTGATGAAATCATCTTGGTTATCTTTGAGAAATCTGTTTTATTATTAACCACGATTTGTCTGTAGAGAGCTATCTTTGCTACCATTATCTCATTTGTATATAGACATTTATAAATGAAGGGGTTTATGATAAAGAACAATAGTCTTGTATTTATCTATATTTGTTATTTCTATTTGCTTTATGGTTTTCTATATTTGACAGCAATAGACATTTGCTGTTCCATAATCATAAAGTCATAAAAATCTATTCCCTTTTACTCTTAACAATGGAAGTAGTGGAAATGATCAGAAAGTGAAAGACTTTGCAAAGCTCAACTCTAAATGGGATGTCTCTATCTCCTCAAGGCTCTTGCATCTGTGAGGAAAATAGGGCAAAAAAAATAAAGCCAGAGGTGGTGGGAGACTCTGAGGAAACCATGTCTTCCAGACGCTGTAGGACTGTTGGAATACTAACGTACAGAGACTGTGGCAGCACACACGTGGCCTGCACTGGTTCCAATCAGGTGGGATTTCAGTACTGAGAGCCGGACAGGGGCACAAGTTCCTTCTTTGACCAAGAAGCTATCTGAAATTGACACCTGCTAGCAAAGGTAAAATTAGTTTCTCAAACAGAGTCTCACTGTACATATTATCTACACTTCAGGATAGGTCCAGTACCCAGCGGGAGTTGACCAACACCAAATGAACTTATTTTATTTTTGTAGATTTTTTGTCTCACTTTTTGAGGACGTGGTTTGTATTTTGCTTGTATATTTTAGGGTTTTTTATGGCTGGGTGTTTTTGTGTGTCATTCTTTTTTTGTATAGAAAAAAAAGATTGTGAGAGTAGAAAGGTGGGGTTAACTCTTGGGAAAGTTGGAGGGGGTAAAAAGAGAAAAATATTTTATAAAAACATAGTTTTTTAAATAAGAAAGCCAAAACATTCTTCATTTTGTTTATTGATTACAATATGTTTCACATTTGGATCACTCTCTTAGAAGCTTCATATTTATATTAACTTCTAGTTCTGTATCTGTCTGTATTGAGAAAATTTCTTCTGTATTTTCTACTATGCAACCAATCATTTCAACTGATTGGCAGACAGAATTGAAGAACGAGATATCCTATGTGTGTGTCAGATACAAACAAGACACAGAGGGAGTCAGACATACAGAATGAATGAGTGGTAGAAAAGGAAAAAGACAAAGCATAGATCAATATAAATGTGTAATTTGAGTTATAAGACTTAATTGGACAAACTAAGCTAAAGCCAGGCTTTCATAATTAATTAGTCTCTATATCATTATTTGGGAGCTGACTGGTGGGATAGAGAAAGACTTTTTACAGAATCACTTATGTAATACATTTAAATTTGGAGGTTTGGAGAAGTGAATACTGATGTGGAATATACTTCTTTATATGTACTGTGTGGCTAAACTCAGACAAGAATTATGTGTTAAGTTCTGGTTAATAATAAGCCTGAACTAATATGCCAAACAGTTTATAATTAATAGAAGCCTCTGTGTGTTTCATTGGGACTGAATTGCTGTGGGACTTGGTGAGACAGAGATTTCTGTTTACAGAATATAGACTACACATATTCATTAATTCCCAAAACTTTCTCATGTGTTTGAAAGACAAGGACATTTGAAATCATTTTGGATAAATATATTCGGTGGATATTATTTTGAAGAGAACATGAAAGAGCATAATAGAGAAATGATATGCAATGACTGGATCTAATGACTTTACAGTTCACAAAACCATGACCTCACATATTAATTTGATGTTGAAAAATAATTTAAAACCCACTTTAAAATTACTTTACGTGAGGTATATGTGTGTGTATGCATGTGTGTTTCTGTCTATAGTATGTGCATGTAATTGTAATATTTACCAAATCTAGAAGAGGGTGTCTCATCCCCTTGAGCTAGAGTTACACAGATGGTTGTAAACTAGCGTATGTAGGTGTTAGGAACTAAATTCATGTCCTCTGTAAGAATGGTTGGTTTCTTAATTGCTGAGCCATTTTTTCAATCCTTTAAAACCCACCTTTTTGGCAATGTTAAGTTAAAATAGATTCTTGATAACTACATTATACCCTATACATCTTAATTGTATTCTAGTCATATTGCCTTCCAGAATTTCTACTTCAGGAATTTTAATGCAGAAGGATGATAATATATTAGAATGTGTTTTTACTACATAAACCAAGTAAAAAAATTAAAACTTATGTGAAAAATCTCTGAAATTATTATAAAAGGTAAACTGAGATTTTGTCAACTATCACGTATAAACCCAGCAGAAATTATAGTGCCTTTAACTACTGATGAAATAAGAAAGGTTATGGGAAGACAATGAACCATGGCAAAGGACATGTGCTAATTTTTTGGGAGAAATTAATAGCACTTATGCCAAAAGCAATAGATTTAACCTAATAAAGAGAACTTCTTGGATTCTTCTCTGACTTGTACATGATGCTCCAATAACTGGAGCCCATACATTTTATACTAATGCAAATAAATGAGGGATGACAGGTTACAAATCAGAAGAACTAAGTAAGGTTAAACAAAGCCCTTATAATTCTGTCCAGAAGGCAGAATTATATGCTATTCTTATGGTGCTAAGGGATTTTAAAGAACTCCTTAATATATTAGTGATTCACAACATGCAGAAAGAGTTGTCTTGCATATTGTAACCGCTGAATTTATACCAGATGATACAGAATTGACTTCATTATTTATCCAGGTGCAAGACATAATCAGTAATAGTCTTTGTTCTATATACATAAAACACATCTGATCCCATATGGGTCTCCCAGGTCCTCTAGCAACCAGTTAATGCAAAAATTGACTAATTATTGATTGGAAGTTTCTGTGTCACCAAGTCCCACGGCCATTTAGTACCAATGAAACACACAGAGGCTTGTATTAATTATGAACTGCTTAGCATATTACTTTAGGCTTATTATTAACCAGCTCTTACAACTTAAGTTAACACATAATTCTTGTCTATGTTTAGCCACCAAACACATATAAAGAAAAATATCTCACATGATATTTACTTATCAAAACTTCCAAAATTAATTGCATTAAAAAAGTGTGATTCTGTAAAAAGTCTTTCTCAATACTACAAGTTAGATCCCAAATAATAATGCAGAGACTTATTAATTATGAAAGCCTGATCTTAACTGAGGCTTGTCAAATTTACTCTTATAAGTTCAATTATACATTATATAAATCTATGTTTTGTCTTGTGCCTTTTTTAACTCTCATTCATTCTGTATGTCAGACTCCTTATATATCTTTTTGGTATCTAACACATGTCTAGATTATCTCTTTCTTCTTTTCTCTCTTCCAGTTGAAATCAGTTGAAATGATTGGTTGCATAGTAGATGATACAAGGGAAACTTTCTCAATACAGACAGATATGTTACTAGAAGTAAATATAAAGATGAAGCTTCTAAGAGGTTAAAGATCAAAATGTGAAACATAAATATTTTAAGAGATAGGTAAAATGCAGAAATTTTGTTTTTTTTAATTAAAAAATATATTTTATAAAATATTTTTCTCTTCTTACTCCCTCCAACATCCTCAGGAATCAACACCACCTTTCTCACCACACAACCTTTTTATCTCCTTTCTTTACCAAACACACACACAAAAAAAAAATCCAGCAAAAAAAAAGGAATTAAAATATACAAGCAAAATACAAACCCACCTAACTAAGAACTGAGACAAAAAAAAAAGTCTTCGAAAATTAAAGGATATCATTTTATTTACGTTAACTCCCCCTGGGCATTGGACCTATCCTGGAGTGTTATGTAGAGTGAGACTCTGATCGAGAAACTAATTTCCTTTGATAAAAGATAACAATTTCAAAGAGCTCCTTGGTTAAAATAAGGATCTTGTGCCCCTTTCTTTCGCTCAGTACTGAAATCCCACCTGGTTGGAACCAGTGCAGGCCACGAGTGTGCTGCCACAGCCTCTGTACGTTAGTATTCCAACAGTCCTACCGCGTCTGGAAGACATGGTTTCCTCAGAGTCTCCCACCACCTCTGGGGCTCACGATCTCTTGGCTTTCTTTTCCACACAGATCCATGAGCCTTGAGGAGAAAGAGACATCCTATTTAGGGTTGAGTGTTTCAAAGTCTTTTACTTTCTGATCATTTCCACTGCTTCATGGTGAATAGCAAAAGGTGATAGATTTTTATGACTTTATTATTATGGAACAGCAAATGTCTGTGGCTGTCACACATGGAGAGACATAAAGCAAATAGAAATAACAAATGTAGATAAATACAAGACTTATTGGTCTTTATCATAAACCCCTCCATTTATAGATGTCTATATAATAATGGGATCATGGTAGCAAAGATGGATCTCTACAGACAAATCATGCTTAATGAATAAACAGATTTCTCAAAGATAACCAAGATGCTTTCACCACCTGAAGAGCACATAGGGGATAAAATGATCTTTATTCTCTATGTCAACTCGCACTAAACTATTCTGCATTTTTAGTGTTTATATATACAAACTAAGATATCATATCAATGGGATTCTTATCAAGAACAGAACTCTTTGCATGTCAAATAGTCCTAGTACACATACTGTGAAGCTACTGTTTTTCTTTCTTGCTAGTATTTTGTTGCTTGACATGAATGTTTGCAGTGTATAATTTTCTAGTGGCCAACAAACTAATCCTTTCACACGTGGAAGCTTCCAGTTTTCATAACAGGTATATTCCACTTATAAAATGATCATTTTTCTTGGGACTCCTGGGAGATTGAAATGCATTAGAAAAAACTGAAAGAAGGGTGTGAATCAATGGTGGGGAAAACAGAATAGAAATAAAGACAAAACTGCAAGAAAAATAAAAATAATAATATTTTAAAAAGCACAAAAAGCCTATGGGAACAATACTGCTCTGGGTGTCACTGGCACATCTGGATGCCTGCACAGCAGGAATTCCCATAAACCACCTGTCCACTACTTAAGCTTTTGTTCACTTAGATTTTTGTTCTTCTACCCAGGACCCCAAATCTATTGGATTGAAATAGATTCCAGTCATGCCTGGATGACTGACAGTACAGATGCTCACAAACCTCCTCTCTTCACCTTTCCTTACAGTGTAAAGAAGGTTTTCAGCAAGCTTTGATTGTTCTCACATTCTATTTTTATTTTACATATTTCAAAAACGTTATTTTTCAAGTGATAAATTTGAATTATAAAATAATTAACAATAATGAATGCTGACAGACTTCAGAGCAAATAAATTAATTTATTCAGAAACTGGCATTTCTCCCACATTCGTATATTACAATTGTATATTTCTTCTATGCCTGTGAAGAGAGCTGCATCACAGGCTTCAAAGAGAGTTGGAGTCCAAATCCCAGAAAAATAAAATGCATCTTCATGATCAGCCAAATTCTTCAGTTTATAGAGGAACAAGTGCATATTGTGAGATGATTTCAGCTGCCAGCACACAGTTGTCAGTCACTCCTTGGGCTTAAAGAGAATGGATGGGCATTCCAGTCCAGCTTGCTCTTCCCTTGTTCAATTGCCAGGGTGACAGAGAAATTGTTGTCAGGACTAGCAGCAAGAAGAGTAGCATTTTCTGTAGCTACAGCAGCCAGAACCATAGCCACAGCCATAGCCAGAGCCATACCTGGAACCATATCCACAGCCATAGCCAGAGCCATACCTGGAACCATACCCATAGCCACAGCCAGAGCCATATCCACAGCCATAGCCAGAGCCGTACCTGGAACCATATCCACAGCTAGAGCCAGAGCTGTATCCACAGCCATAGCCTGAACCATAGCCACAGCCATAGCCATATCTTGAGCCATAGCCACAACCAGAGCCATAGCCACAACCAGAGCCATAGCCGCAGCCAGAGCCATAGCCACAACTAGAGCCGTATCCACAGCCAGAGCTGTAGCCACAGCCTCCACAGGAGTTTCCGTAGTAGTTGCTGCACATGGTGATGAGAGGTGAGGTTTCAGCTGAGAAGCAGAAGGATGTGTCTGAAGTGAGTGCCATCCAGTCTGCCCAGACTTTTATACCCTACAGATTGATGGCTCATGCCTCACATGGGCTCTGCCCTCTCAGTTGACAACACTTTTAGAGTGAACTCATTCTCTGAACGTTTGTTAGGAATTCACAATTTAATTACTACTACCCTAGGAACACAAAGAAGCATTCAAAAATAATAATATTTTTTCTGAACAGCTTAGGGATCTATAATTTACACTTTATGAAGTCATTTCATGACCATGACAGAATATAACATGACACCAAATATTCATGACTAATAAATACGTGTTTGGATTATGTTTCTCAACGTCTTTGGAATTATTAACTATACAGTTCCGTTCATGGTGAGCAGTGTCATTACCTTCTCCATTAACAGCCGTTGGAAAAGAAGCGCTGTACCAAATGTTTTTGTTATAAAAATCAGTCAAAACTACTTCTCATGTATTTTTGACAGACTTGAGATTTAAACCTTCATCTTACAGCCAGAACTTAGTTTTTTCTGAAGGAAGAATTGCTATCTCCATAATTTCCTGCATGAAAGATTTCTATTAAATTCCTTATGCACAAGTATTATGCATTCATTGGTTTTATTTCCAAGGGTGACCACCTAAAAGGTTGAAAATGTCTTGGTTTAAGTTTTTATTGTTCTGCTTTTCTTAAGTTAAATTCTTAAATATGAGTCAGTCTTGCCAATTACTCAATATACACTTATACTAATGCAAGTATATAAATAAATATAATTGCTTTCCTCCAAAACACAATTAACCAACAGTGAGTACTTCCATACGGGTGGAGTAGATGAGTAAATGGAAGATTTTGATGAAAGAACGTGTTCTAAGAGATCAAGTGTATAAGAGACATGGCTCAACATAATAAAACCAATTTACAGACACCCCACAGCCACCATCATTATAAACAAAGGGAAACTCAAAACATTCTACAAACATCAGGACCAAGACAATGGTCGGCAAACCTGCTCATGTAATATTTGAAATCTAAGCTACAGCTGTAAGACAACTGAAAAAGACCATATAGAGACAAATAAAAAAAGAAGCACTCAAACTATCCTTATTCACAAATGATATGATTTTATACATATAATTTTCTAAAGAAAACACCAGAAAATTTCTACAGCTGACAAATTACTTTAGCAAAGTAGCAGGATACAAAAGTGACAAACAAAATATAAACAACAAACACACGGAGAAAGGGATCGGACAAGCACTACTTTTCACAATATACCGATAACTGATAAAGCAAGTGAAAAACTTGTATAACAAAAACTTAAGACTTTTAGAAAATGAATTGAAGAAGACAACCGAGGATGGAAAGATGTCCATGCCCATGGAACAGTTGGATGAATATAGGGGTTCTAAGTGTAAGGAGCAGAGTTTAGAGCCCTGTTGCACAGTATGCAGACCATGAGCTTTAGTCAAGATTAATATTTACAAACTTTTCTGGAAGAATTGATTTTAAATTTTTTTCAGATTAAATACTAAAAAGAAAATGATGTGTTGTTCATGGCAAGCTTCTTGGTCTAACCATGCTATCGTCTCTTCTGGTCCTATTCTCATTTCTTTTCTCCGATACACCAATTAGCCACAAATTCAATGCCTCTGTTTTGATAGGCTTCTGAAGTTGTGATATGTGTGGGGGTTGACTTTTCTGAGATTCTATTTTCATCTTCACCTTAACTTCGGGCTGTCTTTATCTGCTGTTTCCATGATATGGTTTTCTGTTCAGTGGCTCTTATGCCTTTCCTTTAATTGTCTCTGCTTTGGGATTCCTGCCAGACTCAAGTTGGTGTGCACCTTTACTTCTTTTACTACACAACGGCAAATTTTGTGTCTTAACACTGACCAACTACTGCTGATGTGAAAGTGATCTCTGAGCTGCAGATCTTCTAATCAATGAAACACCAACCATATAGAAAAAGTTCAATAAGTTTAATAATTAAAAAAAAAACTTCCAGATCATGAAACTCCAAAACTAAGATACATGTGAGACTCAATGTGAAAATTTTGTTCTCTGAAAATGTTCAAGGAAGATAAATCTTAAACGGGGTACTGAACCTGCTGTATAAATATTTCAGGGAAGTATTATAATATAGTTTTCAAGATTCTATTATGCAACTAAAAATAATAAAAAGAGATTAGCTATGACATTATATGTCATCATCATAAACTTGTCAGTTATATACTTCTCTAGCAAGTTATAATTTCTTTCTTTATTACAAGTCTTCATGTTAAAATCTCCATAAATTTATTCTATTTAAAAATTTACCATTTATAATTATCAGAAAAGTTATCACAATAAACTCCTTTTGCAAGTGAAGATCTTTCCTGGTTCCATAACTCCATTGCTGGAGTGTAATTAAGCCCATTTTCTAAAACTGTCTATAAGTTTGGTCCCAATACCCTCATGTCTATGATGTAATCCAGAACTCCTCAGAGAAATGGTACCAATCAGTAGTTACTTTAGATGATGACATCAGTTGAAAAAAAGAAAAGTTTTACAAAAAGCATATAGCATTTCAATTAGTTATAAGGGACAAACTTGCCTGTGAAAGGAATGGTGCTTATACAACAATGTCTTATGTAACTCAACATTGCCAAAAGGTGGGTTTTCAAGGGCTGAAAAGGTGCCTCAACAGTTAAGAAATCAACCATTCTTACAGAGGACATGAATTTAGTCCCCAGCACCCACATAGGCTGGATTACAACCATCTGTGTAACTCTTTATCTCAAGGGGATCAGACACCCTCTTTTAGCCTTGGTAAGCATTGCATCACATGCATGTACTCGTATACACAAACATACATGTATACACATCACATACACACATATACACCTCAAATAAAATAATTTTAAAGTGGGTTTTAAATTATTTTTCACCACTAAAATTAATATGTGAGGTCATGACTCTGTCAACTGTAAAGTCATTAGATCTAGTCATTATACCATTTCTCTATTCTACTTTTTCATGTCCTTTTCAAAATAATATGTACCAAATATATTTACCCACTTTAATTTTTTATGTTTTGTCATTCAAAAACATGATAAAATTTTAGGAATTTATGAATGTATTGACAGTTTGGTTGCCATGATGAATCTGTGAATGTATTCTGAGAACAGAAGATTCTGTCCCACCCGATCCCACAACAAGTCACCTCCAAATAAACACCCAGAGGCTTATATTAATTATAAATTATTTGGCCTATTATTTCAGGCTTATTATTAACCATCTCTTACAACTTAAATTAACCCATAATTCTTGTCTATGTTTAGCCATACAACATATATACAGAAGGACTTCCCTCATCAGTATTCACTTATTCAAACCTCCAAAATTAAATGTATTAAATATATGTTGTTCTATAGCAAGTCTTTCTCTACCCCACCAGTCAGCTCCCAAATAATGACACAGATATTTATTAACTATGAAAGGCTGACCTTAGCTTAGGCTTGTCCCACTAACTCTTATAACTTAAATTGCCCCATTTGTATTAATCTATGTTTTGTCTTCTGGATTTTTACCTTTCTTTCATTCTATATGTCCAATTCTCTCCATGTCTTGCTTGTATCTGACATGCACCTAGATTCATCTCCTTCTTCCTCTCTCTCTGCCTAACTCCCACCTATACTTCCTGCCTATCTATTGGCCATTCAGGTTTTTATTAAACCAATCACAATAATATATCTTCACACAGTATACAAATATTTCATGACATGATTTTTTTTATATCAACTACACTTCATAAACCTGGAAAATTAATAACTCAACAAATAGACATAAATACCTTTATATGCATCTACTAGAAAAGATCTACAGCACAGATGATGAATGAGTGATCATCAGCTGGTTCTGTCCCTACCTAGAGAGCGGAGACAGTACATCACAGAAGGACTACGTGGAAGGAGGGGATAGAAGATTATAGAGGACATATAGGTGTCTGGGTAGGCAATAATCAGTTTATACTACTCCATATATGATAATTACGCACCCAGGTTATATATCAATAGTGGAAATAGATAAGATTGCCCTCAGGCAATACGTCCAGAGCATAAATGAAAAACTATACCAATTTATGACTTGCTCCCTCAGCTTCAAATTCACACCTTGATCTTTGAGCATTTATCTTTAATTATCAATTTAGACTTAAGCTTTCCCAAGAGAGGATGCATATACACATTGAAGGAAGTATTGATATTCCTAACTTTGTGATGGAGATGATGAAGACACATTGTTGGTCAAGTAGTGTGTCTAAAGAAATCTTTGGGAGTCTGAGGTTCAGAAAGTTCTACCTGTTGGGTCTATCATGGCTGCTGTATCTGAGGTTTCTCCTTAGAAAAAGTCAAATAACAATATGTGTGCAAATATAGATGAATACACTCATATGCATGTAAAGATTTACATAAGTGTGAAAATGTACAAATGAGACTACAAACTGCAGTGAACAAAACAATGTGGTGCTGATGACAGAAAAGAAAGTACAAAACTGTCAAAGCAGGAGATGAACATGAGTTCCACTACCACAGCCACAGTGCTTGGTGGACTTCCCAGTATCCTACTAATGCTACAGCCGGTCATGAATGACAGAAAGAACACAAGTTCTTGCCAAAACAAATGAAATGCATTGACTGAAAGAGCATTATTTTTCCAACTATGAAGCATTTGTTTATCACACAAAAACCAAAATAAGAAACAAGAAGCATTAATTTACATTTTGTGCATAATAAGCCATCATTGGTCTTTGATGTCCATAATGGAAGCATTTATATTCTCTCAGCAACAACTTCCCTGAAGTTAGATAGCTGTCTCACCTATATTTGAATATAGAAATGGCAGAATGAGGGGCTTTTCATGGAGAAATGCCAGGCTTGAAATACTTTGTTTCTTAAAAGATTTATCTTATTTCTAACTATGTATATTGTATGTGTGTCTCTGCATGGGTGTGTGAACATGAGTACAGTTGCCCTCAGAGACCAGAAGAGGGGGTATCAGAT